ACCCCATTCTGAAACCCCAACTCCGCCTCCCCTTCCCCATGCCGAAACCCACCTCCCCCTCTCCCCCTCCCCCAATTCCGATTGATATTAATTTTTTATTAAATTGCTATTAATTTTTAGTTGAATGGAGTGGTTAAATTGCTATTAATTTTTTGTTAAATTTATACAATGTATGGTTAACGTGTTATTCAACGTGACATTTTTGAATTATATTATTAAAAGTTAATTGAAGTAGTTAGTTAAAATTATAGTGGACTTATAAAGTTACTAACTAAATAAAAAAATACAATAAGAAAATTTAAAGATTGGTCACTCTTTGTGGACTTATTTTGTGATAAATTTATCAAGAAAATTTGTTTAATATTAAATCCATTTTTATCTCTATTATTTCCAAAATACCCTTAGTAGTTATGTATGATTAAAACAAATTTAAAAACATCACATTACCCAATTTTATTACATGTGTTAATTATTTAATATTTAATTAATTTATAGTTTAACACAATTTTTATTTCATTATTTGTACATGCATGATAGTACACACATGTTAAAAAAAATTTGTCTAATTATACATTTTGAGAAAATTGATGTAATTTTAAGAAAATAATAGGTAAAAATTAATTTTAAATAATATAATCAAATAAATAAAGAAATAAAAATTTATTTTATTATAATAGAATTAATTTTTTGAACGTTCGAATTTAAATTTTATCGTACATTTGGGATATGACTAATTTATATAATAAAATAGTTAGATTATTTAATTTGAACTTTTCACGATTCAAATTATTTAAAAAAATTATTAATCTGTCGGTCCTAATGCAAAATTCTCCTCTCTCTTCCAATTTTTTAAATAGAACTTTAAGCGATAAACTATAATTCTCCCAAAATATTAAAGAATCTAATACTTGCCCTGCCTTAAGATTCAAAGCTTAAAGAGTCTCTTAACGAAAACTTGAACCTTTGAGTTGAGTGTGTGTGAGACAAGAGGATAAAGAAACAGTCATGACCGTCCTCACCTCTTCATCACCTCTACCCATCTCTCTCAATCGTTCCACAGCCACACCCACTCCACTCAACTGCAAATCACAACCCACCATCATTTCCGTTACTTACCAAAGTCATCGTCTTCGAAGTCATCTCCGTCCGATCACCGTTGCTTCTCAGCTCTGCGCCAATGAAACCATAAAAATGGATAAGTCAACGTTGAGTGTTGCAGAAGCGACGTCTGAGGATGAGCTCCGGGCTGCTGCGTGTCTACGTGTTCGAACTTTCTATGACTTCCGGGAAAGTTTCGGTATCGAAGTGAGTTGATTTTTGCTGTTAAGTTCTATCCTCCATTCATGTGCAATTCTATTCGTTGATGTGAATTAATTGTATTTGGAGCCTCTCAATCTTCAATTTTTTTTGGGCATGGTTAATTATTAATTTTGGGACTCTGTTTTTTCGTTTTTTGGGTGAGAACGCACTAATTAATTACTTTTGGGCATCTTCAATTATCAATTAGAACATGATCCAGCTATATGCAATTCACTTCATTGGTGTGAATTAATTATATTTGGAACCTCTCTATCTTCAAATTTTGTCAATTGTTTTAGGCATTTTCAATTATCAATATTGGGTCTCTGTTATATGCAATTCAGTTCAGTTTTGTAAATTAATTGTATTTGGAGCCTCTCAAACTTCAGATTTTGCCAATTTTGTTGTCATCTTCAATTAGCAATTTTGGTTCTCTTTATTTTTTTGGGTGAAAATAAAGTTTCACTAAGACCATATCCTATGGAAACCCAATCCTTTAACCAAGTTTGAGGGAAAAAAGGGGCAAAAAGCATGATTTGGTACAAACATCTCCGATGGAAAAATCCAAATTTAAATGAGGATAAATTCAAATTTAAAATAAGATAAAATATGACCATTAGATCTTTAGAGGAGTATGAAATCTCACCATTAAAGACTTGAGTCTAGCATTGGTGAAAGTTTTTAGGAAGCTTTTACCCAAATTTAAAATTTGGGTTTAAGGATTGGAGATGCTTAACTACTATAACAGCAAGTGCGGATCTAAAACCCATTAAAGACGCTACGAATTGTATAACAAACCAATCTGGCATAAGATCAATGAGCATAACTCCTAAATCTAGATTGCGTTCTTGATTTGCTAAGAAGTCATTAGATGCTGCTGCTGATTTGGTTCCCTGGATATTAGATCATCAGATCAGTGGCTGCTTTGGCATTCATTTCAAAAAGTAGATTTTTTTCAGTTCAGAGTGGCTAGCATCCAAAGATCCCTAAATGCCCATACATCTGCAATTAGACCATGGTCCATCGATTTTCCTTGAAAACCCGACAACCCATCTGCCCAGATGATTCCTTACGATACCTCAGCCCCTGCTAGCCCTGGGTCTTCCAGAGCAGCGGCCCATGTATTGGGCAAAGGGGAACCATCCTACTAGGATTGATTTTTATTTTACCTTGGAACTTGGGTAATTCACTATGGGAATTCACTATGTGGTATACAGTTGCTCAAAGTGAGCTAGGATCATCTCTTATATCAGTCCTCCCTCATAGCAACACTCTCATGTTGTCTTTTGGGCCATATATTCTATTTCATTTTCTTCTGGGACAGGTGGATATATGAAAAATATATGCCTACCTGTCTTCCTCCAATCCAGAATTCATCCTCCATTTGAAGGAGGATGATTGTGCAATGGTTAGTCTGGCCAGCATCTGTTTCTTTCCCATGCAAATGTTGCCGAACTCAGTTTTGTTTCCCTCCTTGATGGCTTTGGCAAACTCTCAAATACATTTTGAGGGTGCTATATGGGACATTGGGTGTTCTTGAAACCTGTTAAAACCCATGCAGAAGCCCAATAAGTTTAAATGTAGATGACTAAACTTGACGAAAGCTGACAAAACTTGAACTTGTGTTGGGCACGACCTATAAGTACGGATACGGATACGAATACGATACAGATACGGCGATACGACAAAACGTAAAAAAAAATAAAAAAAATACAGGTATGGTTAGGATACGCCTACAAAATATATTTTTTTTTAAATTTTATTATTATATTTAATGTAACAATTATGATTTATAAAACAAATTACATATCTATCAAAGATATATAATAATAACTAGTCATTCTATCATTCAGAAATCATACATTCAAAAAAAAAAATTTTGGCAAATAAGGGCCCAAACATATTTGCTATGGTGCCCCTATTCTTTTTAAAAAATTCAAGTAATATCCCGCTATATCCCCGACGTATCCCTTGCATATCCCAACGTATCTTGAAGTATTTGAAATTCAAATTTATTTTTTTTAATTCTAGGATACTTCTTAGCCGTATCGAATACGTATTCAGCCGTTTCGGATGCGTATCCGCATCCAGATTTGACCCTTTTGAAGTATTCGTGCTTCATTGGGGCACGACAGACTTAGACATAACTCATGACATTGTTTAAATGAGGTTACTGCACTCAGATTTGGACTTGCAATGTTGCTGTCCTCCTTAACTGTTTACTTTTCTCATAACTGCTAACTTTACTATTTGACATCGGCATCCATCAAACTTTACAATTGACCTTTTCCTCGCATTACCGTTCTTACTTTGTCTCATGTTTGATTGATTAGCCACTTCGATTTGAACAATCTTGACTATGAGTAGTATGATAATGACACATGAATACAAGTTTATGATCTTCTTACATTTACAGATGCACCCTTGGCTTCGTTAAATCTAATGATATAATACTCCTTGTCAAGTTTTGTTAGGATCATAAAAGGTACTTGGCCGAGCGTGAGTTTGAAGCACTAAAGGAACGTGTTGCAGGGATGAGAGTGGGCTTTAGGAGAGTTTGTTGCATCAATGCTACATTGCCATTGTCACAAATTTCGAGCATTTCTGATGATTTATGCACTACATGCAAGGTATGTTTTTTAATGGCTGATTGGGTTAGCACTTTCAGTTCCCTGAGTGTATCTATTGGAATTTTGTGGACTTTGTGCACCACCGATTAGTGGCTTAGTGCCAAGATGATGCCATGCCTAACGGAGACTGAATCTGAGTCCAGTTGAAGTAAAACTAGTTTAAAAAAGTCCCTGAAGAAGATATTGACTGATTTGACTTGGATATTCTGAGGTTGATTGTGAAGCATATATTAAATAAAAGCTAGTATTATATGGTTTGGGTTAAATTCCCTTCTTGATTATGGACCATATTGGTCCATCTTGTTGCTTGTGATTTGCTGCAGTATCAAATCTGAAGTGTGGTTGTAGTCAAGGAATAATGTGGAGAAAATTATGAACAAACCTGGGGACGGAGATAGCAACAAATTCTGGAAGGAGAATTGCATGATATTGTGATGAACTATTCGAAATGAATACATATATGAAATAATATGGGCATATCTCACCAGGAAAAAAAAGAGGGAATAATTGGGAATTATTTTTCACATTTGAATATTTGTGTAGAGGTTTTTGCAAAGAATTTGAAAGAATGCAAGCAATACATAACTTCGATGAAAACAATGTATTTCGCAAAATTTCGTAAGTTGCGCAGGATACTCATTATGAGTTTATCAACACATAGCTTTTGGATTTGGCTACAATGGCCTCATACAGACTAATCTAGCTATCTGCAAAATGCACAATCCTGAACTGTGAACATGTTAGTTCTTTTGTTGGCTGTCATAAGCATCCTGTAACCTATCATGTGACATGAATGTGTAAAACACATTCCAGGGCTTCTTAGTGTCGAAGTTGCCTTCACCACTACCATCCTTCTGTTCTATTCAGAAATTGATTTACAAATGGAATTATAGAAATCATTCCATTAAAATGATATGGCTGTGGCATTGTGATGTATATAGACATTTGTGGTCTGTTATAAACTGATAGGAAACTAGTGCACACAGTCATAGTATGTGTGAATTTGTATTAAGAAGTACTTAACTTCATTTTCGTTGTTCTTTTAGTATTTTATGGCTGTTAACTAGCGGAGACCAATATTAACTTTAAATGAAATAGTAAAGAAAGATATGATACTCTTATGGTTTAACCAATGATCAAAATTTCGTTTCGGTGTATTATTTCGGTCATCTAGGAAACGGAAACATTTTGATGTGTTTCGGAAACGTTTCAACCTGTTTCGAAAATAGAATGAATAAAATAAAAAATTTAAAGAATTATTTTTTCAAAACATTGGTTGAAATATATCAAAATGTCTTAAAATACTTTGAAATATTCCGAAATAATTATGCAAATACATTAAAATATAACAACATTTTGAAACATTATGGAATATCTCGAAGTATTAGAATTTCGATTCTATCATTGATTCGTTTCGGTTTCTTTGGAAATGGAAACGTTTCGGGCAGATCGACTATTTCGAAACGATTTTTTGATCCTTGGGTTTAACAGAAAATATTGCCCTTAATAGAGTTCAATGGCGAAACAGGATTCATATAGCCGGGTCCATGTTGGGAAAGAGCTGAGTTGAGTTTTAGTATTTATGAAAGAAAACATCTTGGACTTCTCGATACTTTGCATGGGATCATTGTATGCATATGTTAATGTAATTGAATGTCATGTTTTGTTTGAAAAGCCAAATTTGCAAGACTTCACACCTAAAGTATTCCAGTTTTTCTGAGCTGCTGCCTGAAAGTGATCGGATAATATTTCATGGAGCATCTAATGCCATGCTTATACTTCTAGTTTTTGGTTTCCTTCACTGGACGAGCCGTAGAACAGTCGATGCTCAATTATCTTGATGAATTATTCTACCTCAAGTTTCAAGTTTGAAATTTATACATTTTCTGTGAACCAACAAACCAACCTCCATCTCTAGTATTGCCCTCAGTTTCTGATCTGGTTACCATGCACGGAATATATCCCAGTAGCATTCTGATGTGTAGATTGGCATTCGGTTATGCGTGCATTCATAGAAGCATGTGTTTGTAATTTATCCATCAATCTATGGTGCAATAATAGGATTTTATTTCCCTGTTGTATCTGTTGCAGTTTTCAGATGATGGAGAAGACCACGTAGTCATTGGGACCCTGGATCTTAATCAGTGTCTTAGGCTTCCAGATGAAATAACAGGCATGAAGCCAAAGGTATTGATGGACAACTTTTATTGATTTTGTATAGGCTGACTTTCTTATGGGTAACATTGAAAAGGTAAAAAGTAAATGTAAAATTTGTAGTAAATTGACAAGAATGTTACAAGGTCCATCTTAAACTCAAGTGCAGATAATGGCTTTTCGTTTTTCTTCTCAAATACGCGCTTGTGCCTTGGCTAATGATCTGATCTGTTTTGATGTTCCCAATGTTATGTGCTCTGAATTTTGGGGCACGGAAGCATGGTTTCAAAATGTTGTTCTTGATTCCAGTTGAGTGGATGGTGATGCAATATGGGAGACTTCTCACTTCCCCCACCCACCCAAAAAAAAAAAATCCATACCCTCCAACCCAGTGGACAGGTTTAACCATTCCCAATCCATGGACCCCCAGCTCAAACAAAGGCAAATTTAGTCCAAGGTTCTACCACCAAGAAATTTTATAGAAAAAAGGTTATTTGACAACTTCTGTATTGTCTTTTTCTGTTAATTTCTTGATAACTTAAGCATGGTCCATAATGACTCCATCCCTCCCTTAGAGACACTGCTTCTGGTCTTATTCAACAACTTGCTGGTTAGTAGAGCAATTTTTTGGGTACTCACACCTTCGGGAAATTCACTTTTTATACTCCAGGAGTTGAAATCAGATGTCAGTAGAGAAACGTAGGTTGCCTGGAGTGTAACTTGAAGCGTCACCTAGTTATTTTTGTTCATGCACATCAAAATCTACCCAAATGCATTTATTCATTCATGCATGTTGTGTTATATGATCTTTTAAAATCCTAATTATATAATAATCTGGTTGATCTAACACACACTCTGAGTCTCTGACTGCTCTTACACTCTGGTTACTTGGCATGATACTTTTTTTGCATACCAGGAATTTTAATCTCCTGTTAAAATGTGCTTTCAGATCTTCTCACTATGCTCAAGAAACGAGAACCAAGCTTCCAATAGCTTAATTTGCTTGAAATAAAAGATTGATGAGAAAATAAGTGAACATTTGTACTTATACTACAAATGTTTGTTGTTTCTGGTCAGATTTGCTTCTTCTTCTCAAAAAATTATAACTGGGTTACCTCGATCTGTTAATTGTTCTTCTTAGTGTGCTGTATCATTTTCGGGTTTATATCTATTTGTAGTTAATACTAACCCGCTAATCTTGTATTGGGTTCGAGTCAGATTAACAAGCTTTTTCGAAAATTGCCACTCTTCAGGAAAATGATGTTTTATTGTGATGTTTGCTGTTATTTCCTGACTAGCTTGAATGACGGGCCTAATGCTGTGTTACTATTCTTGGCAAGAAAAAACTAAAATATACTAATATACTCTACAAAGCCATGGTATTATATCTAACATTCTATATTATTCTTTGGAGTTCCAACTTTCTTTTTGCTTGGTAACACAAAATTACAGCAGATACATGATGAAGGACTTGGTGCTGATATGCCCAAAGAGAAATAATAATATATAACAGATGAACTAAATGCATGAGGTGTGGGTTTCATAGGCAATTTCATGGTAATTTGGTAGTACTTGCTTATTTCTCAAGGTAAATGCTATGTGAACCTTACTTTCTGTGAATTCATATATTTCTGAAGGATTATGTGACCAGATAAAACCATTATCTTTGGACTTTTTTCTCGACAGGGCATTGGAGCTGATTTTGCAAGGGCATACCTAAGCAATGTATGTGTTGCGAAGGAACTGCACAGGAATGGCTTGGGTCATGCGCTCATTGCAAAGTCTAAGATGATAGCTGAAGATTGGGGTAACAACTTCTGAGAACTTGTCCACTTACGTTTTCCTCTCCTCCACTGCTTGATGTTGTGTTGTTTGTGAGAGTTGTTGACTTTGATGCTTTTAGTTTTCTTGTATACTTTTCAGCACTCTCTCAAGAAGCAAGTGAATTATCATATCCTCCATGTTATCAGCACTGGCCTTGGTCTGATTTGAGCAACTTATACATTTTGTCTTTGAAATTCTTTCAGGAGTAAGCGACTTGTATGTCCACGTTGCTGTTGATAATGAACCAGCGAAGAATTTGTACATGAAAAGTGGTTTTGTTTTTGAGAATGATGAACCTGCATGGCAGGCCAGGTTTCTAGATAGGCCTCGAAGGATTCTTTTGTGGACTGGTCTTCCTACAACCTACGAGTTGTAATGTTGTATTACTATTCATGTACAATTAAATTACTAATTTGTACCCATTCAGTTCCATAATGTGTATTTTGTTTCCACCAAAAACAAACTATTCACATGGATTGTATGCAGATGCATTTGTAAAGGTCAAGAATCTTTATTCTTTCAAGTGGCAGAAATGGGTCAAAACAATGTAACATTTGAATCTCTGGAATGCTATTTTGTGAACAAAAAGATGTTGCTGTGTTTTCTCTCTCATAACTGTCAGTTTCATAGTCTCAAAGTCCTTCTCAATCAGGTAGTGATTGAGAAATTTGGTGGTTGATTTTTTTGTTGGTAAAATTTGGTGGTGATTTGTTGCAGAAGCTGCCGTGCGTGCGAAGTTTTTGGTTGTTGCAGAGTCTATCTTCCATGGCTTGACCACTGCCTATTATGGGTCAGATCCTACTATCAAAATGGTGGCAAGCTCCGGTCCTAATTACTAAGAACTCGTAAGTAGAACTTATTCTTGAAAATTGGCTCATAAAAAAAGCGAGTCTAAGAATTCATAAAATACAGTTATACTTGGTCGGTATAGAATCATAATGCTTAATCTCAATTTGTTGTGAAGTAATTTAAGAATTGATGTAATCATATCACATGAAGGAATTTATGGAGACAAATTGACCCAGGCACATAGATGTATCTTTCAAGAGATTAGGTTTTTTTGGGGGATAAATATGTACACACTTATTTTAATTCAAGGAACTAAATTATAATTTTAGAAGCGAACTAATTTTTTATAAGTGTTTTTTCAACTTTCATTGCCGCCTTAGTCTTATTTCGAGATCAAGAAAGATCTAATCGGTAAGATTTGTAAAATTTATAAATTTACACTCTGAATCTGAATCTGAATCTCGCGAGGGTATATTTTGACAATGCAAAATATGAAAAAAGAAGAAGAAGAATAAGAAGTTAGAACCAATAATAAAAGTAAAAGACGAGGGAAGAATTTTCCTTGGGCCATTGCCGAAGGCAAATTGGGCGGATAACAATCCGAATGGGCTCAGACCCATCTATATTCGGGTATGACCCGGTTATAAGCGGATCCAGTCTCTCTCTCATTTGAAATTTTGATTCGTTGTGACAGTGGCTTAGAACTTGTGCTCGATCATCTTATTGCAATTCACAATGAGACACAGGAGGAGCGATGCTATTGCAGCAGATAAAGATGTATTTGAGAATTGCGAAGGCGAGGGGAAAAGATTCCCACCAAACTCTAATAAGTTGTTATACTCATCGGCGACAACGAAAGTTTTTGTGCTTTGCTTGGCTATTCGAATGGCAAACTCTTTGTTGGTGCAGACATATTTCAACCCAGATGAACATTGGCAATCACTAGAAGTTGCACATCGGATTGCATTTGGGTACTAATAAATTTCTTCTGAATTTTCTGTTTTGTAATATTAGTTTATATCCTGTGAAAACTGATAATGTTGTCTATTCCCAATTTATCACACCACAGATATGGACATTTGACATGGGAGTGGAAAAAGGGGATCCGTAGCTATCTGCATCCGATGCTGTTTGCTCTTCTTTATAGAGTTCTTGCCCTACTTCATCTTGATACCCCATGGTTCATGGTAATTTTTTCTGTGTTCTTGTGGTCCTTTTCTTTTTTCTCTTTTTCATTTCTTCAAATTTTCAAAATTTGCGATTTTAATGGTATGGTGTTCGTTTGTGCAAATGTTTTGCTGAAAAGTAATGTGTTATATGATCTATGCTTATCTGTGTCTTATTGCATTATGATTAACATTTGTTTCTTACCAAATATCCTCAAATAAGGCCTTGCTGAACTTTAATATATATATTCTAGCGTGGTCTCCAATTCCTAAATCCTCCCTTCCTCTTCCATTTTTTCTTCCTCACCCTTCTCTCCTCTCCCACCCTTATTTATTGGGGAAGTTTAAAAAATTATGAAAAGTTATAGGAGATTAAAACTATTTGTTTTTTTGAAAAATTCAAATGAATGGTAGTTAGTTAGCGATGGTAATTGGAGGAAATTTTAGGTTTTGAATTAAAAAACTCAAAATTCTAAGAATTTAGAAAATGGGGAGGGAAGGCTTCCTAGGCTCTCTTTCCTCTAAATTGTGTTTTATATATATACTAGCAAACACCCTTTGCACTCCACAAAATTTGCCCCACTAGTTATCACCTTGTTTTTCCTTTTTTTAACCCGCATATTACTGAAAAATAATTCATTAATGAATTAAAATAATATATTTTAAATGTTAAAAAGTGATGAAAGGTGAGTGAAAATTTAAATTTGAAATAGTTTTAAAAAGATAGTGGAAGTAGTTACAAAAGATGGAGAGAGTAGTTAAATAACCAAATGAAATAATTGATTGGAAGAGGTTAATTGAATGCTTAAAAAATATAGAAATTAAGCATTTGGGGAGGGAAGGCTTCTCAAGCTCTCTCACCCAAAAAATATTTGTTTTATATATACTAGTGTCCAACTCCATGCGATGCACTGGCCATCTCCTTCCCCACCCAATCCCCTTGTTCACTTTTTACTCTCTCCCACTCACTATTTTAAAAGTTAGCAAAAATATTGTAGGAATTATTGGATTGCAAATTTGATGTTTAAAAAAAAATTTAATAAGTGGATTAGAGGGTGTTTATGAGTAGTTATTTGAGAAACTTGGTAGAGTATGATTGGAGGATGGAGAATTTAATAATTCAAAATTCTTACAAATTAAAAAAGTGGGAGGGAAGACTTCTCAAGCCCTCTCCCCAAGAAATTGATTGTTTATATATATATATATATATATATTGTCTTAGCTGAAGCCAAATTTCCTAGGAGAATTTTGTGTAGGGTTTTTTTTACAAGGATGATACATTTCCTTTTGAATTATATTCACAAACTCATCTCATGCCAGGGTAGACCTATAAATCGAAAAACCAATTGGTAATGAACTATTGTTTTACACCTTTTTTTGTTTGACACTTTTAAGTTGATAATTGGAAGTAATATAAGGATTGCTGAGTTGTAGTTTCTAAGTTAATACATCTATGTGTAGAGTTGGCATGAAATGTTCAAAATATGATACATATTGTGGAGTTTTGGAGGAGAATATCTGTCTTGCTTGCTGAACTCTGTAACTTATGGTTAGCAGATCAGTTTATGTTCATACTATTCAAAATAAATAAGATTACTTAGCAAAGAGGGGGAAAATGGAGCATATACCAACAACAAAACCTTTCAAAGGCCACTCAAGGAAAGGAATTAACTTCCACTTATTGTTCCTGATTGACTTGTGTATAAAATCTGAACACCTTCAGAGTCTAGGCTTCCAAAATACTTGCAATTATGCTAAAAAGGTCCAGATGCTTTGTCTTTTTTTGGAAAGTAGGTCCAGATGCTTATCATTTGGTGATAACTCAATATATGCTCTTAATTTGCTGTGTGAGGGCCATGGAAATGTTGGGGGGACGAGAGGGGGCAAGACAGAGAACACTGTACTACCAAATGTTGCATTTGGTTAGTATGTCTTAGGAACTGACATGAATAAGTTTACAAGTTTATAATATTATTATGGTCAACCAACCTATACTTTCTTTGATCATAAATAATTGCAGAAGTTATTTTATAATCATGTGGAATGATGTGATCACCATTTTTGTTGCTCATGCCCGGCATCTTTATCCTTTAAGGGCCTCAACAATACTCATGCAACTAGTCACACTTAGCCAATTTTTTGAATAACTTTCAGGCCTATTTAGGGACACAGGACTCTCATCGAACTTATGGCTTTGTTGTGTTGCATTGATTTGAGATTTTTGGTGGGGCATATGTTGCATTAAATCATCAGCCGTCATATTATCATTTCTGTTCCCAGTGCTCCGGCCCACATGTTTTCATTTCCTCATGCTTTCGCTAACATTGTTTTTAACCTTTCACTTTCTCTCACAACGAGCTTGTGTCAATTTGCTGCTTCCAATAGTGACGTGGGTGTTCTTTGTTGCATGAGAACAAACAATCTCAAAGAAGCATCTCTAGTCGAAACTTGGTGCCACATCTTTGCAACTTAATGTCTTATTCTACCTCTTTTTACAATGCCAATTATCCATATCAGCCCATTCGCCTATGCTTGGCTTTAGCAATACTCATTCAACCAGCCACATCTGGCGAATCTTTTTGATGCCTTTTAGGTCTATTTAGGGCCAGTTATGGAATTTATGGCTTTGTTGGGCTGCGTTGATTTTAGAGTTTTGGTGAGGCATATGTTACTTTAAATCATAGTCCGTCATGGTATCATTTCTGTTCCCAATGCTTTGGCTAACATTGTTTTAACCTTTTACTTTCTCTCATAGTGAGCATGGGTCTAGTCACTCCTTCCAAATAGTAATGCCATTGGTCTTTATTGCATCTAAAATTGGTGCCACACCTTTGTATTTTAATGTCTTATTCTCTCTAACTTTACACTCATTCGCCTTGGCTATGCTTACTCTTACATCTTGTTTACAATTCTTGCCACTCTTTTCACATTTTGTTTCTCTAGCATAAAGCATAGCCAGCCTTCAAGATAGTGTCAAAGTTTCTGCTTAGCTTTTAGGCTTTTTGACAATTACACAGCATACTCATGTTATAGTGGTCTTTTGAGAATGAAATTCCAGTGTGATTCCTGTTATTAACAAGAGACTTTAGAAATGTATGGGACTTGAGCTGGACAGTTAATATTGTTCTTTCAGGGCATTACAGACATGTCAATATTGTCCTTTTCCTCTTTTCTTTTCTTTTTACCTCTCCTTTCTTTTCTTTTGTTTCATCAATGTTCTGTTCTCTTTCTTTTTATTCTTTAGTGACATGGAATTGCACCAAAATTTCACATTGAAAAACATGTTGCAGGAACAATGATCCGAAACAATGCCTATTTGTAGTTTCATATTTTTCTTAATGGCCACTTTTGCCACTTTCTTTGCTGAAATTAATTCACAGATGATTTCAGAATTTGGGTTCATCAAATTATGGTAAATGTGCCTTTGGACCTTCAAGAATCAGTAATTTGCTACATAGTAACTATTTCTATCTTTCACAGACAAAGGCTCCACGACTGCTGCAGTCCATAATTTCTGCATTTGGTGATCTTTACTTGTACAAGCTCTCTGAAGTCTTGCTTGGTCAGCACGTTGCGCAGTGGGCAGTATCCTTTCCTGTTATATTCCTTATGGCTTTCGTTGATAGGGATATGCGTCCTCGTGTTTTTAGGTGAAACACAAGTGCCCCAGTTTCATTCTTTTATATATATTTATTTTGGTTTTTATTTTTTATTTTTTTTATTATTCTAACTGAGAGCTCTCATAAGCTACAATCCCTATATTATTGTAGTTGGGAGAACATTTTTAACAATTTTTTCATGATGGATGATGTACTTAACTCTATTGCAGCTCTTTGCACAGTTGACAAACTGGTTCATGTTTTTCTGTATCACGCGTACTTTGTCAAATAGTCTGGAAACTGTTCTTACTGTTGTGGCCCTATATTACTGGCCCTGTATGAGAGTGTCTTCCAGCAAAGTTCCCTCGGGTTCAAGAAAGTTGGGTTTGACTTTAGCGGCATTAGCATGCGCCATTCGGCCTACTAGTGCAATTACCTGGGTGTATGTTGGCCTTCTAGAGCTCTTTCTGGCACATGATAAACTGAAGTTCATTTTTCTTGAGGTGGCTCCTATTGGGTAGGTAACCTTGATTGCTTCTTTGTTGATATTAGTCTTTTTCAGTCCCCAAACAGTTAGGATCATATCATATGAAATTTCTCTTGGCTATTCTAGAACCACACCTGGAGTCTTTAATGCATGTCTCTTGCTAAGAATAAAGGTTCTTTAAGAAGTCAAAAAATAAGGCTTGCTTTCATTACTCAGATATATTTAATATGCAATGCAGATACATAAGATAACAACAAAGAAAGGAGCTGCAATCATCTTTTTTCATCTCCTTCACAATTGATAGGTGGTGTGTGGATACCTGACCTTGTTGGGTGTACAGGAAGTATTTATTGGATGGGGAAAAGTTGGACTCCATAAACATAACCATAAACATTACTGTTTATTTATTAATTTGTTTTCATTTGGCTGGAGTATATAGAAGCTAATGACCTACCATACGGAGGCTGAAGGAAAGACAAAAAAAAGAAAAGAAATAACAGCCCAAAGAGAAAAATAATATACGCAACAAAGGCCTTACTACTTAGCATACACATTCCTTCTCATGTGATATCCCAATCCACATCAGGATGAGGGATTTCCACCTTGAACAGATGGTGGTAAAAATGTAGTTTAGTTATCTATCTACCACTTTAAAAATGGTTGGTTATGAACTCTGAGATATGCACTTGTCATTTAGCACATTTCTAGATGTGTACAAGATTTTTCATCATATTTTTAATATGGCTATTTGTAGAACTAATTGGCATAAACTTGAATACATCCATCAACTCACCAATTTGATTCACTTATGTTTTTTTTTTGTCTATGGATGGTCTTGTTATTGCTTACCTTATTCTTGGAACACATGGTATCAGGGTATTGGTGCTTGGGCTCACATTTCTGCTGGATCGTTTGATGTATGGGTCGTGGGTCTTTGTGCCTCTTAATTTCCTCAAGTTCAATTTTCTTTCTTCTGGTGGAGATTATTATGGAACTCACAAGTGGCACTGGTACTTATCCCAGGGGTTTACTGTCATGGTTTTCACTTTTCTACCATTTTCCATAGCCGGCATTATCCTGTCTAAGCATTGGAAGCTTTCAGGGCTTATTGCCTGGGTTTTAGGGCTTTATAGTGTACTAGGTCACAAAGAGTTCAGGTAACCTACTTTTCATATTTTTGCTTTTGTGTTGGGGGATGCCATTTTCATTGTTCGATGCATAAGTAATACACTTCCTCTAATTAGACTTTAACAGGTTTGTCTTGCCTGTACTTCCAATAGCATTGATGTTCTCTGGATATTCTTTAGCCACAATAAGTTGGGGTGTTTCGTCATCTGGCAGAAAGAAAGGGTCTCCAAGTCTTCGTACCAAATGCTGCTCAAAAATGCAACTGACCATTTTTTTCCTTCTTGTTACCAATCTTCCTATGGCTTTTTATATGAGTATAGTTCATCAGGTACATTATTGGTGCTGAGTACTTTCAGTTCAACTCCTTAAGCTCCAAATTGGTGAACTCTTTTCTTCATTAGTGAGGAGATGAAGATTATAGAGTTTCCTGGTTTGATTAATCTTTCACTTTTTATTTTGCAAATGGAATTTACGTAGTTATATCTGACAAACTCTTTGTTTTAATCTCCTTTTTTTTTTTTGTCTTTTTTTTTTTTGGGTTTCTGTTTGTCTCTTCCTCCTTTTGCCGTGTCTTACCTCCAGCAGTCCTTTGCAGAGAGGAGCTGAGGAGGTCATGAAGTATCTCTCCAAAGAGGCTTTTGAAGGAAAAGTGAAAAGCATCCTTTTTCTGACACCCTGCCATGCTACGCCTTACTACTCAACCCTGCATCGTGACCTTTCTATGCGTTTCTTGGACTGTACACCAAGGCATTTGCTCTGGACTATGCCAATTTGTTGTGAAGATCTTTCTTTTGTTGATGCACATAGATTACGAGCCTAATTTTTTGTTTTGGCATTTCTTTGAACAGTGAAGAGAAAGGAATTCCAGATGAGTCGGATCTGTTCATGATGGACCCAGTTGGTTTTGCATCGGAACTTTCAAAAAATTGGTCTCTACCTAGCCACATTGTATTATTTGATTCACAGGAAAAAATACTAATGGACTTTCTAGCCTCGCATTCTTTCCTAGAGGTTTGTCCTAATTTCACCTTTTTGTTAATCGAGGCTGAGATCCTCAAATTTTCTTCTTTCTTATAAATCTGGTTTAGTAATTGGCAGATACGAAGGTTCTTTCATGCTCACTTCAAGGTGGACCGGGATCTTCAAGCATCAGTCGTTGTCTACACTTTCAGAGGCCAGTAATTCTAATCTTTGATGAAAGAGAAACCCCATCTTTCCGTTGACTCTGTGCTGCATGTTGTAATTGTGTTTTCTTCGTTAGAATAGTAGTTCATTCATCGTTTCTTCTGCTACATAGTAATTTATTGTTGAAAAACTCTACAATTATTTCCAAATCTATGATAGTTACCTTTGATCGACTTACAAATGAGTAAATTATTATGTGTTATGTTTTAACATAAAGTAGATAAATAAAGACATTACACCTCCCTCTTTCAAGTTAAATTTTAGGGTAGTTGGTGACTAACGTGGTTTCATAGCTCAAAAAGTTTGAGTTCAATCCAAACTAGGTCTTGACATAGAAAATGAGCGGAACAGATCTCGATGGAGAAGCTGAGAAAAGTAGGTATCTGTAGGGAATCAATCAAATTAGAGCTTAGCGGAAAAGTTGAGCAGAATAGAGCTGTACAGAGAAGCTGAACAGAGTCGGTCTCGCCAGAGGATATGTCTCAGTATAGTTGCCGACAGATAGAATGATCGACAGAGACACCAACAGATTAACATTTGGAAGAGAGGCCGAGTAGAGTAAGTCTCGACACGGACACAATTTAATGCTTAGCAGAGAAGCTGATCAGAATAGGTCTCGGCATACTAGAGAGTACTCGGCAAAAAACAAGTAAACCAAAAATTCATCAGAAAAGCCTAACAACTTGAGACGTAGGCAGAGGTGCCAACGGAAAAAGAGTACATAAGAGATGTCTAGATTCAGATTTTAACAAATGACACAGAAGTCGACAGATTCATCATTGGATGGAAAAGCCAAATCATCACTCTGTAGAGACGTCAATAAATGCGGTGACAGATCTGGGCATTGATAGAGAAGTTGAAAGAAGCAGAGCTAAACAGAGTATCTGAGTATAACAGAGCCCAATAAGGAAGACAAAGATGAAAACCTTGGCTGAGAAGCAAAAGAAGACACAAGTAGAGCTAAACAGAGATACTGAGCACAGAAGGTGCTCAACAAAGAAACTGAGTAGAGAATCCTGGCAGAGAAGGATCATAGTTCACTGAGTAGACTCCGAAAAAGAAGCCAAGAACGACCACTTGGCAGAAAACCATATAGATAAGATCTCAATAGAGATTCAGGGTAATCAAAAGTTAGTACAGCAGTCGCATTCATTCGATGTCGATAGAGCAATCAAGTAGACCAAGTCTCTAGTCAAAAAGAGGAAAGACCAGACCTCTATAAAGAAACAGAGGAAAGGTTAGGAGATAAGCCGATCATAGCAAAGAGCTCAACAATGAGGCTGAGCACAAGCAGATCTCAGCAAAGAAGCTATGGAGGGCATAGCGCAATAGAGAAGCTGTGTAGAGGATGTCTCAACAACGAAGCCAAGCTGAGCAAAGTTAAGCAGAGCATAAGAGAGTAGCTCTACAGATGAGTTCAGCAGAATAAACAGGCTCATCAGAGAAGCAGAGCAAGAACAGAGGTCAACATAATAAGGCGACTATAGTACTAGTCAATAATAGTGAGATCTAGGTCAAGGAGAGCAGTTCTGAGCGCAAAAATCGGGAAGACTAGGTCTCGGCAGAGAGGCCTACCAGGCCACTAGATGGCAATCTTATTTGTCGGAGTTCAACAAAGTGGCTTACGAGAAATAATCACCAACGTTAAAAACAGAAAAGGGCACCTGTGGCATAAAGAATCATGGCAAGGTCAATCTCCTTTGTCGAAAGACGACTGTAAGACCATCGCTGGGGAGCAAGATTTAAAGTTTACAAGTGTAGTGTTACTGAGCTCATAAAAGGAAAGAGAAAGCATCAAGAAACACAACAAGGCCAAAAAGTGTCAGATATTAAAGAGTCTCTGCATTAATAGCTTTTTCCTTCATCCAAGACAAGGACAACTAGCTCGACCTCAGAAGGGGGTATCTAATGGGTGGGAAGATTACCCAACTGACCAGAGCCCAGAGAGAGATTATGGATTCTACCTATTGACTTATTTGTTGAAGAGAAATGTTATAGGGCCTTAATTCAGTGCAACCATTGGATTAATTGTAAGTTTCAATATTAGATAGAGCCTAGTTTCAATCAAACAGTTGTAATTGATTAGCTCTTCAAATTAGGTCCAAATAGCATTTTCTTTTGTTGAATGCAGTCTTCTATAACAAATAGGAAATGGTTTCCTAAAAGGTGATGAATGACATCAATTCATCACCTCAATGAAAATGCCTAAAAAATCTAGGTAATTATGTAACTTCAGCTGCCAAGGTGCATATAAAAAGTTTAAGATCATCTGAGAACAAGGTACGTTCTCTTTTCTACATATAATTGTATTCTGGCCCATGTCAGTTCATATACTTAAGCATTTAGGGTCATCCCCCTGCCATCCTGCTAGCCCCTTTGGTCTATTTGTTGTCTTTCAAGTAACTAACAGGTCGAAAACGAATTATAGACCAATATTTTGCATCAATAGTATAGATTTATTCAAGGAATATTAATGTTTAATCTGAATACAGAATATATTCAACCATAATTACACAATAACATTTGAGGTACAACAACAAACAATATTGGAATTCGCTTTAACTCTTATAAAATTGAAGCTCATATCTTGTGAAAGAAGTCGAGAGCATCAGCATATGATTAATGGTCATTGCCCACATTCTGTAACGCTGATAGTCGTCCATCATGTCTAGCTTGATCATCCCTCTGTTCGTTGCTAGTACAATGATATAAGAAGTACTAGTTTCCTCAGCTTCTGCATCCTTGTACAACTCCACTTGTAGGTCTAGGACAACACCTGAAACCAACTCGTACCACATAAAAACAATGAATCACATTAATAGATCATCATAAGAGAGGGATTAACAATTACAAGTCACATAAGAAAGAAATTAGAAGAAGATGAATAAAAAACAAAGAAGAAGAAAACATACTTTCCTTCTTGCTTGCAAAAGCATTCAATAAGTTGATTTTCCTCATTTTCAGAATAACCTGTAAAGTTACAAGAGTCGATACTTAGGTTCGAGCTGCACATAAACTCACATGCCAAGTGCCCTTAGTTCGACGTTATTTGCACTTACCTTGGCTTCGCTATTTAAGATGACAGATACTGACCTCACCTTGCATCTCCCTGTTCACACATGAATGGAAAGATAGGAAATACAAATAAGATCAATCTCAGATGAAGAAAGATCTTTGAAGAATTCTTTCAATGAGGTTAGCAAAGAAACTATAATACTATTTATAATATTCTTGCATACTTGTATAACCTTTTACATCTGGAACACCAGAATCAATTCTTCATTATGTAGGACCCACTTGGTCACTCCTCATTAGGGGTGTCCATGAGCATCAGGCAATGCCTACTTAGCCAAGCCCAGCCCATAAAGTTTTTTCATGGCTTACAGCCTGGCATAGCCCACCAGCTAATTTTGTTTTTAAAAACTAACAAGGTGTTAATTATGACAAATTACAGATTTTCTTCCATGAACAACAATAATAATAGCTACTTACCCAAAAATGAAAACTTAGGATGGTTTAATGGTTTCAAGTTTCTTTCTATGCATAAAGGTTTGGAGTTTAAAGACTCATTAGTAAAAAATTTTAAATGGGTCAACATGTTTTCCATTTATAAGTTAAGATAACAAAAAGTTGAAACTAATTTGAAAATATTTTGATCAATATTATTATTTTACGAGGATTTCTAATCGAATAGGGCCGGGCTTGGCTAAAATTTGCTAGCGCCCTTAGCCCTGCCCTAATTTTGATCGAATGTTCGAAGGCTATCCTAGGTCCTGTTCTATGGCCTCATACCCTAGCCAAAGCCCCAATATTTCCTGTTTTTGGACTTGGCCAACCAGATTGCCCATAACTTTGCTGCTTATTATGTAACCCATTTGCTATAAAGTCCAGAGACAGGAGATTAAGATGCTGCTAAATCCATGTTATGACTAGTAATAATAACTAATAATGAGCTCAAATCAATTTACATACCGTCTGATATCTCAATGCTAAGCTCGGCACCATTGGTGAGAATTGCTCTCCATTTTTCAAAATCGAAGTCTAAATTGCTGTTATCCTCGATTGGCAACACTGGTGCACTCCCATTTAATCTATTCTTGCAAGCTGATCTTGCTTTAAGTGTAGCAGCTCCCCTTAGTGCTATAAGAAGATTAACAAACCGCTAATTTCTTCATTTAAAATCAAAGAAAATACTAAAACAAAACGTAAGACCCGAAGAATGGTCTCACATTTGATTTTGATACTTTTTTTAGGGGAGAGTTATTATACGTTATATATGAGAGGCAAATCACTAAAGTGAGTATACTAGCGTAGATCTTTCTCTTCCGCAGTTCCCAACTTAAATGAGGATCTGAATATCTAATTTGATCTCTCTCTCTCTCACACACACACGCACACACATGCGCTCGCGCAACCACACACACCACTTAGTGAGGCAATGATCACCACCATTACCTTTTCTTGCATTAATCCTCAATATAGATAAATAGTATTGTCAAAGCTATATTCTTTATCCATGAACTATCTGGTTAATGCTTCAAATTCTATATGTATAATAAAAACTTTCGACATAAGATTTCTTTTTTTAGGCATAATGTTTTATAATTTTGGAGTGCCTAAAATTCATTTTGGAGTACTATTAAGTAATTCAGGTCATATATTAAATAGAATCCATGGGTTGGTATATGGGTGTCCAGGCAAGAACCCCTTCATCCATTAACGAAGTTCTTACCATACTCTGTTGAAGGCAAAGGTGAGATAAGCCTGATATTCCAGATTAAGTCCAATCACTAAGGTGGATGAATCCAGCGTCCACTAGATGGAAAATGGTTGAAGCTCTCCATAGATTAAAGTTCTGTTTTACAATTTTTATTTCACTTTTCTTTCCTTTCTGTGCATTTTAATCATCCATCGTATATTAAAAAATCAATGAGATTCAAAGGGACCTAGTGATGTTACGGCGTGTGATTGAAATGGCAAAGATCCAATCTGCTCACACAGATTACACCCACAGGCCTATTTGGTGGTTTTAACATGAATGAATTTCAGAGTAGAGAAAAGAACATTACATGTTGCAGCAGCAGCTGTGAGGGTTAAGATGTCACTAGCACTTGTTCCACTCATGGCCGAACCTATTACACTGCTGAGTTGCTCCCTCTTTGCCCCCATTGCTTCTGCGACTTCTGCGCATTGGGCAGCAACCAAGGCGGCAGCGGAGGCCACCACAGATTCCTTGGCGGTGTCTGACTTGCCATCTTCCAAATTTTCAGCTGCTATGGCGGCAAGGGCTGCAGCTACACCTGCCACTGATATTGCTGCATGCACTTCAGCTCTTTGCAACCTCTGTTCTTCTTTCCTTTTCTGCTTAATCTCTTTTAGCCATTTCTTGATTGATACAAGCCTAAAAGGCATTATTTTCCATGGCATCTACATGAAACATATTACACTTTCTTTAGACTTGTCCTACAGCTAAGTGAATGAAGTTTTCTATTGATGTTGAAACAGTTATACAGTTAAGACATTGCAAAGCATACCCATTTCTTTCTGAAACAGCTGTTGTAGTTCAGTTCTGGGTGCATTGCTTGTTGCATCCATATCCATGACTAAATGAAAGAGACAAAAATTTTGTCATGAACATTGGCTTGAAAAATGTGAGCTGATGATATTTATACTGTTAAATGGTACCTTCACATCATTGGATTTCCATGGAGGCAGAGACCTGTCTGTTTCTTCCATCTTTGTGCTCCTGTCCATCTTCTGCAAGTTTTGTACTGTCCCATTATTTCTTCTTTGTCCAGAAAGTGTGTGCATGTGTGTGTGCGTGTGTGTGTGTGAGTAGGCTGAAATTCTGTTATTTAGTTTAGTAGGAGCAAAACATAGGAGGCGACCTTTTAAACTTCCGGAAAAGTTTAGGGGATGACCCTATATAATTTGATAGTATTCATAGCTAATAACAGTATAATAAGGGAATTTCTCGGGCTTTTTGGGGAGCGATCCCACCCATGCCTTGAGATCTGACATTTTTGTGTTGTGTGCAGCACAAAGGCTGGTTTCAAGCTAAGTTCAACTCACCATGAAAAGAGGTCTGGTCTCATTCTCAACTTTCTTCATTGTGTTATCCTGGAGAACCAGTGACTTCTCTTGTAGCTCTGGTTGGAAAGCCTGGACAGCAAAGTTGCACCATGCACGAGAGAGAAAGTCCATCGTCTCGGGATGTGCTTCTGAAAGCGTTGGTTTAATGTCAAGATCCATTGAATTAAGAGCTAAAGAAGGCTTTAGCAATGGAGCTTAACAGAGTTAGAAAAAGGCTACTTAGTTTTTCAGATACAAAGAGTCCTCAACGTGCAGGCATATTTAAACTGGCAGGCACGCTTAGTTGATAATCACTGTTCTATCCTTAGTTATAGTGTGGGTTTATATGGCTCATAATCATCTAAAAAGTGGCTTGTGTGGAGCTGTATATACTTGAGTCAATACGCTAAGAGGGTAACAAACTTGCTCTTCAACATCATTGCCATTGGTTGGATTGGATCACTTCACTTAATACCTGTTAAACAATCCGAGCAGTTCGAGCTTGACTTGTTCAAATTACAAATATGAATTAAATTAATTGGATTTTGTAGATCGTCTAGTAAGTGAATTGAATTCATGTAACACATGTTTCGACTCAAATAGTGTCTTGACTCTCGCATATTTTTTTTTTAATAGGTGACTTCAATTTGGTTGTCAAACTACCTCTTTACGAAAGAGGACCAATCTAAGCTCATTCCTAAATAGCTCTACCCAATATACCTCTCTCTCTCCCTATCTAATAGGTCTTTGAAAATGTTGAACTTATAGAATTTGTTGATTATTTTTGGATTGATTATTAAGTTATTGGGTTCAATTTTAAATTTTTTGTTTTATTTGAGTTTATTATCGACTCAAATACTTACTATTAAGTCGAGCTTGAGCAATAATCTAAGTTAAACAGGTCCAACCAGCATATTAAAGCCCGACAGGCTCAGTATCATTAGCAACTACTCCACTTAATGTATAATCCATGTGTGAAACTGAGACAATAATAAAGGTATGGTATACCTTCTTTATGTCTTCCCACAGAGGCCCCAAAAGTTTGCTCAAATTAAAAAAGTGGAGAGAGAGGGGATATTACAGTTGGAAAGGATAATGAATGCCACCTTTGTATTTTTATATAGTATTGAGGATGGAGGTGGAAGAAAAAGGACCCATGACACATTATAAGTGTCTATAGATAAGTAGATTTTGATTGGACAGAGCCCCCAAGATGCATCAAGAGTGAAGAACACATGCTAACCACTATAGAAGCATGATAACTTCTAGGATGAAACCACAAAGACAAGCACGAGGTCCCTTGCTTTTGCATCTTTAAATTCATACCAGAAATTGAAGCTAAGAATGAGAAAATTTCAGATGATAAGGTGGTTGGATCACAATTCACAAGGTAGAGTTGTCCAAGCCCTCCAAGTTAGGCCTAGGGATCAATTTTGAATCAGATTTGGATTATCTAATTTGGAATTTAATTTGAAAATTAAAATTCAATTCGATCTGAATTTCTGAAAATATTTTATAAAATCATAGTCCATACACCGTTCAGATAATAATTAAAAATTAATTTGAAAATTTATTCTGAACTAAATAATTTTGCTAACTTAAATATTTTGTAATTGCATCTTAATTTCAACACAATTTCATTGAAGAATCACTCGATGATATAATGGATTTAGATTGAGGTTATTGGCCAAAAATTACTATCCATATTTGACTAGTTGAGCTCGAATTTAGAGATTCAAATAAAAAAATTGATTCATGGACTTCTCTACTCCAAAACAGCCTGTAATCTAAAACATGTGTGTGGGAAGGGTAGAGACTAGAGATAGATAGATGAAAAAAATATTCATTGTAATGGTGATACCACGTCCGTATTGTCACATGGTATCACTAACCAATAATGTACAGACAAATAAGAAAGTGAATATCACACAAGTCGATAACTACCTGTCCATATAAATAGATAACTATCCATTATTTTTTCGTGTAAGGTAATAATTACCCAAGTAGAGTTCACTTTACTCATTTGAGGTTTTGTTGGTGATACCATGTCATCAATACGGACATGATATCACTATTGTATTGAATATTCGCTCTCTCCTCTCTCTCTCTCTCTCTCTCTCTCTCTCTGCCATTATAGCCGGGCATCCACTTGGGGACCTAGCATTGATAACAAGAAGTAGAAGTGTATCATTGAAGTCAAGCTTTCCATCATCAGAATGAAGCCTTCCAGATTAAAATTAGTTCAATAACTTTGATGAAGATTACCTTTATGTATTGAAAAGACTTACAAAAGATAGTTGATTAGCTTTTATGGGGCTGCTCATCTTTAAAAATTGGCAATGGGGTCATCTCACACTTTTTATTTGTTGATTTTGTGGACTCTTTGAGATTTGGTTAAAGTAGTAGTGTTCATTAGCCTCATGTGACAAGAAAATTGCTTGGATGCTTCTTTTATGTTATTCAATGGTGGCCTTTGATCAACATGGCCATCTAATATAGGAGGGCACAACTATATTGTAGTCATCATTCTTGAGTCGAATCATGTCCTCCACCCCTCATATTACTTTGTTTTGAAAACAAAGAAAGAATATTATGATTAAGAAACACGAGATTAAGTGAATGAAGACGGTTTTTGATGCAAAATTAGATAATAATATCATGTTTTTTGTTAAATATATCCGATCTTTTTAGAGAAACCAATTAATTTTCCTAAGCACGTAATTTTTCAGTTCACCTACACTGATCAATCATCACGAGAAAATACTAGAGGATGGTTTCGAGAGGAGACTTGAACCTGTGATCTTAAATCCAATAAGTCTCAGTTTGTCAACCTACTTTTGCTACTCTGTTTCTCACAAGTTTGCATTTTAAGATTTATCTTATTTTTTATTTAGGAAAACACAAAAAGATAATTTTTATTCTGATAAGATAAGAATAGATTTCAATTTTCTACAAACAAAAACTGCACTAAGAGTTGTTTTCGATCACTTGTTATCATTTTTGGTGAAACGATTTCTTGAAGAGCAGCTAAGAAACCTCACATTTGAATTCTCTCTAGTAAACTTTTTCTTTGATGATAAATCACCTGTTATGTTAAGAGAAAGTGAGAAAAATTATACCAAAAGGAATATAAACTTGAGTTAACATATAGGTATGTCGGATGTTGTCACGTGCTCGTTAATCTGATTACAGAGTCTAGCCGAAATTGTGACAACCCTTTGGTTAATTGACAAAAATGATGGTCAAATCTTGCCCTTTCTCAAACCCTTTGGGAATTCGAAGCAGTTATAAATTGATTTTTTTTTTTTTGTAATAATATGAATTTGACTATCTGATTATGATTTGATCTGAATTCTATAAATTTATGATAAAATTAGGTGCATAATTGGTAACATCGAGTTAAAATAAGATGTAATATACTCGGCTTAAGGAAGTTATTTGGATCAAATTTCTAAATTTTAACGAATTTTAAGATTAGCTGTTACAATAAATTCTTCTACAAGTAAAAAAAAAAAAACTTTAAATTCTTCGAATATTGGGGTCCGGGTTTAACAAAATGGGCCTCCTATTGTCCAGTTCTTAAAACTGACGACTGATGTCTCTGCCTTCTGGACACCCAGGTAGGCCCATGGGCTTCTTGTTAGCACGGAGCAGGTTGGACGAGATGTTCAACAGATTTTTTGGGCCTGGGTTTTTTTGTTTTGCCATCTTTAAAACGGTACGATCCTCAAAATAATTTGTAAAAATTGGAAGCGAGTCTCTGTAAATGGACTTAAAATGACTTGAATCCAAGAAAGAAACTTATTTAGAGTTAAGTCCGTGGTTAAACTTATATGTAGGTACTTAAATTCACTTTTTTTTTAACATCTTAAAATTACCCCTAACGATGTTAGTTTTGTTCAATTATAAAAAGTCACATAGATTAGATCATTGAATTATATATGAAAACTGTTGGTTGAGTTATATATAGAAACCATTTATTAAATATTCTGGTAATTAACGGAAGTTTATATGGAATGTATATATTCTGATAGTTATATATGGAAACTTGATGCACAAATAAATCATTGGTATATTAAGTGAAATTCAGATCACAAGATTTTCTTAACAATTCAAATTCAATAGTAGCATGATACAAACATAAAGTAACATGATATAGTAACATAGTACAAGCACAAGGTGACACTGTAGTATGACATTATATTTTCAATATCACAATCAGTATGTAGTAACATAATACAAAATTATCAAGCGTAATAGCTATAAAACAATTATCAACAATGATATGCAAAAGTAACATGAACAGTGTCACCTAATTAGCTGATGTAAACATAGTAACCTCAGCTTAATAACATTCAAATTTGTTGAAATTTGAATTTGCAAAATATGGTCAAATTCATCTTCCATCTACAAATCTAAAGGTGGAGGTGGTTTTTGATCTTCTGGGTTTAGATTGAGTGGGTTGAGGGAGAGGCGACTTTACAGAGGGAATACGTTGGAGACTTTTGGGTTTACAAATCTCGTTGAATGACTTGTAGTTCTCTATCACACTACCTTTGTCGTCCCATTTGATCTTAGAGGAGTCGATGAGAGATCAGAGTTTCGGTGGAAGAGAAAACGGGGGTTTGAATGCATAAGGGTTTTTTCTTTGGAAGTACTCCTCATACCTTCGGTCTCAATTTCTTGTACTTCCTTCGCGACCTCCCCCTCTCTCCACCACCTTCTCTCTCTCTCCCTCTCTCTGTGTCCTGCCATACCACCATCATTGTCTCTCTCCTTCTTGTCTCTAACCTACACAATATTTTCATACTTTTTGAATTTTGTAAATATTTTTTGGGTGTTTAGCACCGTGAGTGGAAGAAGAATAATATGTGCAAGGTAAAATAGGAATTTTGTTTCCAAATTGTGTTGATATCATCAAAAATGGATGGCTCGTTAAACGGAATTTAACATCAGGGGCCAATATGTTACAACTGACCAAACCTTGAGGGATCTCAATGTTATTTTTCATATCTGAGGGGGTCCATTTGATTAAGTAACAAATTTGAAGGGATCTGAATGTAATTTACCATTTATCGAATGAATATATGGATCAATTGGTCCTATTACTTTTTTTTTTGTTAGGATCCACTAATTTAACTATTCAAATTTTTTGTTTTATTTGTTGTGTGTTTTTCCTGTTTGTTTCTTTTAATAGGTTTTTTTTTCCCATCAATTCGACCACCTTTTTACAATTGAAAAAACTAAAAACAATGGGTTTGGCTAGATGTCAAGTGTTAAGGTCACCCCTTGACCTTTTTCCCCAACCCAAAGACCTCCCCCATTGGTCAGTCAATGAATTAAATTTTGATTAATAAAATTTAAATTCGATTTAATTGTCTGAAATTTTTTATTTTTATAGTTCATATCTGAATTTGTTCCATCAAGTAATCTCTAAGTTTTATAATACAGTCTTATATATTTATATAAAACTCAGAACTGATTATAATCTAAAATTATAAAAGATGATATAATGCACTTAGATTAAAGGTTGGATAATTGGTCAAAAAACTGATCCATTTCGGACTTGCAGGATTTGAATTCAGATTAGATTTAGATTAGAATCCGATCTATATATTAAAAGGATAAGAAAAGATAAAACCAAAGATGAAAGGCAACTAAATGAAAAAAAGGGCAAGTGGGTTATGTGATGGGTTGTTAGGTGGTGGTCTGCTACTAAAATTAAAAACCAAAATCAACATCGATGCTATGGCTAGAAATCATTACTCTCAGTAAAACTACATCACCAAATTTAGTACCCTATCAAAAAAATTGATAAAATTACGATTCAATCAAACCAAATTGTAACTTCATATATCAAAGTTAATACCTTGATACGATTCAAAAAGGTTGAAATCAATCACATGTTGAGATTGATCATTATCCTCAATCAATTTGATTACATGTCTTAAGACATTTTATCCTAGCTACTATGGTTATACTCGTAAAGTCCTGAATTTCCAATCAGACACCGTACTTCCCACAGCTGTATTGACGATTAAAACTGGCTGCAAAATCTCAAAGGCCATCCATATTTAGGGCACAAAACTTCTGTGTACAATGGTTCTGAGAGAGATAAGTAATATACATTTGTACTCCCTATTTTCGAGAGATTGATTGTCAAACTCAAACTCACAACATAACGATTGAGCAAATGAGTACTTGTCATCACTCCATGTCCGACATTTAATTCTCATTTGCGACTCTGGAAACTTAAAACAAACTAAAGCCATTATCAACATCTCTGCAGGCATTTTTGATTACTTGTTGCAAAGGGTTCTTAATCATGTCCATGAGGCCACACTTGGAAACACTGATCGTATCTGTTGAATTGAGTAAACATTTATATTTCACCATCTCTAACACTTAAACCTTTTTATATCAAAGTATGAGTTGTTGCATTCGAATATCACCACCATCTTATTATGGTGAGTTCAAAATTTACAGGGGCTTAACTGTAAATCTAACACGTGTTAAACTATATAAATGCTTTTATTATATCTACTCTTTCTAAGCTTAACTTTTTTCATGACACGGTGATTTATCAATATTAATGTGAATGTACCCTCAACTACCATATAAACTATCTACGATGCCTTGATACAAACATAATTTATATTCAATAATGCTATTTTTACTTTATCTAGGAACCTAATGTATTATGGTTATTAGATGATAGTGGACTTACATTTTCTATGACCCACTACTAATGTATAACGGCCAAAATACATTAGTTCATCACGTTAATTTTTCAATGGAATTTTTATAATTTATTTTCACGTAAAGGTAGATCACATACCATTATAGGTGCAAGGCCCATTTAAAAATAGTAGATACAATTTGGATTTATATTAAGTGATCTGTTAAATAAAATTAAGCAAAAACATATTAGAGACGTTCTGAATTCTTATATTAGGTTCTAATAACATCTTATTTGTACAATTTAAGTGTGATGCGCACACACGCACATATATATAAGAGAGGGAGGGAGAGAGAGAGAGTTTGAATGTATCCTTAAATACACACACGTGAATATATTTATGCCTACCCTCCATGCGCCTGTCAGCATCGTGTATCTAAGGAGTGATGAGAGGAAGGGTGTAGGGTTATGTAGTATAGGTTTAATTGGGTTGTTAACTTATGTCAACGCCAACTTTCTATGCTACATGTTCAATAATTGCACAACCCATCTCCATTTTTCTGACTAAAATTGGCACGGAGAAGCTCACAGCTCTGAACATACCAAAAGAAATAGTAGGCACTGAATTTGATTCTGATTCTGAGTACACATGGAATTCTCTCTCTCTCTCTCTCTCTCTCTCTCTCTCTCTCTCTCTCACACACACACACACACACACTAATACACAGACAGACGCATGCATACACACAAACACCTTCTCACAACTTGCTCACTAGAAAAAGTTCCACAAAATTTCCTGTAAGAGAGAATTGAAACAGTGGAATAATGTTCAAAACACATCATTTTGAATTCAAAATTAATATATACAGAGAATTTGGGTCAGCATAATCTTTAATTACCTTCATTTCCGCCAAGAATGCTATGGTTTGGATCTGTTCTTTTTCGTGCATGTTGAGATAACCAACATCTTTTTCCATAATTGAAATTGAAGCTAATTTAATCATGATGATCAACTAAACCCAAGTGTAAAATAAAACTTTTTCCCTCGCGCAGTCGAGGTTCAACTTAAATAATGAAGAACATATATCAAAAAAATGATTGGGGAACCAAAAAAATGATAAACTCAATGCATTAACAACCTAGAATGTAGTTGTTTATAAATTGCAGTAGAAGCCTAGAAGGTGAATATAAAAGCTTTGATTGATTTATGTGTAATATAAAACATGACAGATTTCAATAAATCAATCTGATGATCTCAAATAGATTTATCTAACGGTCACCAACATTATTTTTAATACTATTCAGATGCACCGTGCCTTTGAGCACAGATTACCCTAATATATATATCATTTCTGTACATGCCTCTAGTGTTGTACCAGCTGCTTTCTATTTTAATTTCTCCTTCATCTGTTTTTCAAGAAAAACTGGAAAATATACAAAAAACAAGAGAAAAATAATTAACTATTCCTTATTAATAACCTTACTACGATTCAAACGATCGGTAGCATCAGCAAGTTGCTGCATTACATCAACTTGAACTCGAAGTGAGACGATATAGTCTAGGGTTTCTTTGATGAGAGAGAATTCATCCATGAATTCTCCACCAGGTAGAAGACTCTTCAGCACTTGGGTTCTTTTCTTCACTAACCTCTTGGCAATAGAACTAGCTAAACCCACTTGGGGTACTGCTAATATTTTCTTCATTCTACGAACACTACAGCTCCTCTTTAAAATCTTCTTGCTTCTAACTCTCTTGTTGTTCATCACCAACTGAGTTGAAGCTTTCACTAAGCACTCAGATTCTGAACCTAACACATGCTCAACAGGGACCTTGTTACAGTGATTTTTTGAAGAATTGTAAATTAGAGCGCGACTCCAATAAGAATTTGCAGTTCTAGTGGAAGCCATGGCAATGTCGGCCGATAGCTTTATTGCCTTCTTTCTCTCCCAAATGCTCATGTCTTTCTTTGAAGCCCTATATGTTTGAAGACCCATTGCCCATTTCTTCAGGAATTCTTGCTTGAGTGAGCTAATATTATGCATTCTGCAGAAAGGAGAACATGTTTTACGAAGATCATAGAAATATCAAGCGGTAATACCAATGATCGACGCTTCATTGATAAAAAAAATCCAAATACATAATATAGATCAAGACCTGCCGGATGACTTTCAAAGATATACTCATAAAAGAGAAAAATAATATTAATTGACCAATCAATTTAACATTTTTGGATGACTATACAAATTGTTTTTGGCAAGAGCAGTACTAAGATCAGTGACCCACCGAGAACTCTTTAAAGAAAATGAAGATTGTTAAAATTTTTGTTAAAGAGAAGGATAATCAATTATGGAACTGAATCCACTCAAAACCCACAATACATAGAGATAACTGAAAAATGCAATGGACAATGAGTTAGCTTGAATCTTAAACACTTGATTCATGAGTATTGGCATACTAAAAAGGCCAGCATGCAGTAATATTCTCAACCGTACCTTGTCGATGTGTTCTTCTTTCTATTATTATATAACCGAGAATACTATGCTGAGCATGAGAGTAAAGACAAGTTGCAGAGAGATGCAATTTCTAGGGATCCAACAAAGTGTTTCAGAAGTCAAGAAATTCAGAGAGAGAGAGAAAGAGTAAAGACAAGTTGCAGATAGATGCAGTTTCTAGGGATCCAACAAAGTGTATCAGAAGCCAAGAGGTTCAGAGAGAGAGAGGGGATGAGAAGCAGAAGATTGTGCAGAATGCCATATATTTGCTCAAAGTAGGAGACGTGGTGGGGCCTACCAGAGAGAGACACAGCACATGCAGGCACATGGGGTTCCAGGACCCACCAGGCCACCACCCACAAAACTAAGACAATATTGAAAATTAGGGTTGAGAGAGAGAATACAGGTTCCCTTAAAGGTATGCACACCCAAAATTTGTAACTTGTTATAACAAAACTAACTTGAATTGGTCGCTTCATGAATTTGTATGTGATTTTGGTTTTGGTTTGTTTAAAACCGCATTAATGAACAAAAATGTCAACAATCTGATTTACCATAAAACTAGAAAATCACAATATGTTGCATATACCAAATTACCAATAACTACTCTCGGTGAGTATCCAGTGGAAACGACTCACTCCTTCCTGTAGACAGTTACGAATTCCAACATCAGGACTCTTCCCTTGCTCCTTTAAAAAGAAATAGGTCTAAAAATTACAAAATTATATTGAACATAAAAAACTAGCTGACTCCTTTTTTTTATTAATTCAGTTTATGAATATGGCTGTGATTGTTTATGGACCAACATTATGAAGATAATAAAAATGATTAATTGTAGAAATTGTCTTTGGTTCTACTTTTATGCAATTGAATATAAGCATGCCTGTGATAAAGTTTAGCTAATGCAGATCAGAGGTAGAAGGAAAGTGGAGAAAGACAATGTGAGGCTTGGCCAAAATCATCAACTTATGTCTTTTAAAGCCAACCATTCCCTTTATTTCATTTTCTCTTTTCCTTTTTGTTGTTTTATGTAAATTGCTTTGTCAACATTATAATCCATTGTGTATGGTACATACTACTCTCTATGCCATAAAATTAATGTTTATGTAAGAGATATACATTTTTATTCTCATTTTAAAAAGACTGAAACTCAAATCCGGGATTTATTGCTTGGGTTTGTGGACACTAGAGTTTGGCAAGACAACAGTCTTTTTGCAGAATTGCAGACTAAATAATTGGATTATGCCACAATGCTTTAAAAATTTTAAATGAGATTGTGGAATTTAATGTTTTGAGTGTCATGCATAGGCGGTATTTAGGGTTTCAAGTAATTAACATGGCCCACTTATACACGGACAATGTTGAATAAGAGGGGAATTGAGTGGATCCGTACAGCATGCTGATGTTGGGAGAGAAGGTGGGCCCGAGAAGAAGAAAAATTCAGAGGGCATAAGTCTTGGCTTTGGCAAAGAAAGAAAAATCCACCACATGGTGTCCACATGGGGCTTTTTAAAGGGTATGGCCTAGGGAGGCTTTTACAAAGTACATATCTTCCACAATAATTAGATAAGCTCATAGCTTACATATAAAGAGATAAGCGATACGTGATTAAAATTACTATACACTGAATTATAATATTATACATGTATTAAAATATGTGTGTTAAAGTGTGTATATGTATGTGTAACTGTGTGTTATATAGTGTGTGTGTGTTAAGTTTTTGAAATTTGGGAAAAAAAGTGTGTTGGGTGTATGAAATTTGAAAGAAAAAAAATACTCCTCATAAGTTCAAACACCTATCTGATTTATTATATAGATATATTATACTCTTGTTCAACAGCAGGAAAAAGTTTAATCTTAACATATATATATCTATATAATAAAACAGAATTGTGTTTAAATTTTATCTTAGTCATATTTTCCTCCTCCAAACCATCGTCAATCACTTACCTCACCCATCATCCTTTTGTCAGATTCAAACGTCAAATCGCATCATTATTTCTATCACATATTTAATTATTTAGATATATCTTTTCTAAAAATATTACATCATTCATTTAATATTTGATTAATTTGTAGTTAATATATTTTGATAAAAATTAATATAATGGGATCAATTTTTTAAACGTTCGAATTTTATATTTTGTCGTGCCTTCAAGCACGGGTTATAACTAGTGTGTGTGTATATATATATTAGCTAGAAAAAAGTTTAATCATAATAAAAGAGAATTGTGTACGAAGAGAGAAAGATACACAGACTAAAAGAGATGTTAGCTATCAATTAATAATCACATAAATGATCGTGATATTTATCTTCCATCTCCAATTTTTTAAATCTACATATTACTTGCCACTTTTATATCTTATCTCACAATTCTCTCGTTTTAATTGTTTGTTTTCTCATCTCTCTCTAACATAATTCTCTCTTTTTTAATTATTTGCTTCCACATCTCTTTTAAGAGCAATTCTATATAGATTTTAAAACTAGACTTGATAATCTCAACCATTGATTTTACTGTGGGTTTCAACGTCTATTGGGATCCACTATCTATTCAATGGTTGAAATTATCAAGTCTAATTTTTAAGTCCATCTAACATTACTCCTCTTTTAATCGTTTATCTCTCTCTTTTCATTCACAATTCTCTCTTATTAATTATAGAATGGAGTTATTTCTACTCTACAAATCTTCATTCTTATCCTATTTAATTTTTTATTATCAAACTATTAAGTTCACCCTTTCTATACTTATCCCATGAGTAACTAAGTCGATCTTATGTTACATACACCTCATTAATAGTTAAGTTCATTCATTCTATGTACACCTCTTTAATAAAAGAAATTGTCGTAAAAAAATAATGAAAAAAGACAATTAATTTGAATGCATAAATATATTTACAAAATAAGAAAAAAAAAAACCAAGCAAAACTGAAACAAGAAAAAGAAAGAACAGAACAAGAAAAAAAAAAGAGGAAAGAAAGAAGCAGGCCAAAACAAGAAAAAACAGAAAATCGAAACAAGAAGGAAAAAAGAACACGTAAAACTACAAGACATAAAACCAAATATAATCAAAAAAAAAAAACATCAAGCACAAACACAAAATCAAACAAGAATAAAAAATAACAAGCATAGATACAAAATCTTAACAAAATTAAAAAAATAAATAAATAATTTGAAAGTATACATATATACACACACATATAATTTCTAAAATAAAAACATTGTTAAACTTAACAAAAATATCAAAACATACTGAAAATAATACAAATTCATATAACAAACATGAAATAAAACATAGAATTAAATTACTCATCACTGTCAATCATTTATCTTTCTCTCTTCACTCTGTTGATCTCCGGTGTACTAAGGGATTGTCATTGCTATGATGGATGCGTATTCTCACACATCTTTAGCTTGGTTATCTTTTTGTGCCTTAGGCATCGTGTGTTTAGTGGCGAACCAACCTCTTCTCATGTCAGATGAAGCTCCATATACCTCACTCTTTTTTACTAGATAGTGACGAGAACCTCATATATATGAATTGCGAGAGAGAGGGGGTGGGGTAACAGATGAGAGAGACTGAGAGAGAGAAAGGTGTGAGAGTGAAATAAAAAAAAAGAGAGGAACAGAGAGTAGAGAGACGTCATAGGCTGCATGAATGCTTTTTTTTTTAAAAAAAAAAAATTTGTTGATTTTTTTTACTTTTTCACTTTTTTGTTTTTTCTTGGTGAGAGAGTCTACTCTTTTTTCTAACCATAATCACAATATAAAGAGTATAATCCACGCACTTAGATTTACTTCTACAAAAATAGAGAATTAAATATATTTAGTTAGCCTTTAGAAAATCATGTTCGATTGTTTCAACTTTCAACAGTCATAATAAAGTGTACAATTAATATATAGGAGAGAGGGGTCCACATGCTCCAAGATTAAGAGCTTGGGGTCCAACCAAGTAAGCCCAAGCCCAAGGAGTCAACCTCCGCGATTTACGCTTACAACCTGTTCTTGACTCCTCTACCAAGATTGATGTGTTTGGGTACCCAATAAAGTGGCCATGCTCGTGTCAACACACAAGAGAGAGAAGATGCGAGCAATGTGACCACTAGCTCGAATTTTAATAATTTTTTGAGTTTTAATTATGGGAGATAAATTTTTTATAAATATATTTTTCATATATATCTTAATTTTAGTGTGAATAATTTATTTTTAATTAAATTTAAAAAAAAAATAATCAAAATATATATAAGTTGAGTCAAACACCTGCCGCAACCGTTAAACCCAAAAAACAGCACAGCCACAGGCCATGTGCACAACAGCACACATGGACGGACCCCTACCATGTCCGAACAAACGTAAACACTCCCTACAGGCTTACAATCATTAGGGTACTTACTACCTCTGCTACCACTACCTTTACAGCCCCAAAAACTAAAAAAGCAGATATTTAGCCCCATCTCTCCACGTCATACCAGGATGGATATTTTGAGTAGCATAGCTGGAACCAATTGTTGGGTTTCTCTCCTTTGTGGGACTCATCAATTTGCTAATTTTTTGGTGGCCTACCCGTGTAGGACTCTTATCCAAGACTTGGTTTGGAGTCTTCTAGTTAAAAAGGAATTTGACAACCACCAAAGACTATAAGTTTTGTCCTTTTCTTTGGTTCATCTCTTCTCGTTGGTTAGGCAAGAAGACATATTTTCGGCAGTCTTTGGTTCAACAAAATTCAGCCTTCTTCTTCTCCTTTTTGGTGCCAGAAAAATCTGCAAATTTGTTCTTCAAGTGGGTAACATTTCTTCACTTGATATTTGGGTTTCTTGCGGTTTATTCTTGGAGATTTGGTTCACTTATTTTGTGAGGTATTTTCCTCTTGTGATTTACACCTTGGTGTGTTTGTAAGGCTTATGCCTTTTGGCCACTTTGTAATCTGATTTGGTGATAGTGGAAGAAACTGACCTACCGGTCGTCGTGGATGTACCTCAAGTTATTTGAGGGAACCACGTAAATCTTGTGTGCTTATTTATTTTCTGTTATTTTATTTATATTGCTTCCATTGATTTACACTTGTGGGAAAACCTATTTTCCCAACATCTGGTATCAGAGCAATTGGTTAATTCGGTTCCGATTCGTTATATTTCTGTGTGTGAATTATGGACGGCAACGTTGGACGTATGGTTAGTTTCAATGGCACAAATTGGGTGACTTGGAAAACTAAAATGGAAGATCTTTTATTTTGTAAAGATTTGAATGGACCCATAGAGGGTGATAGTGGCAAACCGGAAGGGATGAAAGATGACGAGTGGAAAAAGCTAGACCGGAAAGCTGTCGGTTTTATTCGGCAATGGATTGATGATAGTGTCTTTCATCATGTCTCTACAGAAAAATCTGCACATGGTCTTTGGACCAAATTGGAGAGTTTGTATGATAGAAAGACGGCAGTGAATAAAGCATTTTTATTTCGAAAGCTTGTGAACTCTAAATATAAGGAGGGTACTTCTATTGCAGAGCATTTGAATGAAATTAAGAG